ACGCAGCCAGAGTTCTTAATGTCCATTTTCAATAAGTTTGCATGAAATGCTGATAAAGGGAGTATAGAGGGACTTGCACCCCCTGTCTAGGGAACAGTTACCTAAAGTACTCGTATTTGTCAAATATTTTTCGAGCCATACATTGCATCTAAATTGTTGCATTTCAGTTTGAAAGATGAAAAACATGGGTTGAAGTTGTCATGGGATATGGGGAGCAGATGCCCCGATTATCATAGGGAAATGTTACAAAAGTACTTGGCGTGTGAGTTTTAGGCACATCTTGCCTGAGTTGAGTTTGTTACATTGAATTGATTTTGGTTGAGTGGGAATAGCTCGGGCTGAGTCGAGTTTGGTTGCATTTTGGCGTTGGGATGAGATAGAATGGAATTGTTTATTATTAGAGGGTTTAATAGAAAGGTTTTGATAGGCCGACTAGATTAGTTTTAGAATGGGAGTCGGACCAGCCACTTTACCCACTCTCTGCAGAATACCCAGGCCTGACCTAGTCCTTTTTTTTCTCATATGTATGACCTCACCTGCTCTCTATCAAAATCAAGGAGGACCACAGAAAATTCCAAATTCTTGTGAACTTATTCTATGTGCTGTATATTTTCTCCTTGGTTGAAAATATCTTAGGATTGATTGGGTTAGACTGTATTCGTTTGGTTGAATTGCTTTGAATGGATCTTGTTGGTGTAATTTCATGTTTAAGGTCCGACTGTGAAGACTACTGTAGGTGTTGTAATAGTTACATTTGTTATTGTTGTTCCAATAGTTGCTATTATTTTTGTTTTTGATGTTATTGTTTTCATTTTAATTGTTGTCACTATCATCATTATTGTTGTTGTTATCATTGGTATTTTATCATATATTGTTATTGTTATTGATGTTTTGTGTTTTTTGTATTAGTATTATTATTATTATTTATTGTATTATTGTTGTTGTTATCTAGTTATTATTATTGTTGTTGTTATTATTATTATTATTGTTTTTATAGTTATTGTTATTATTATCATTGTCATCGTCATTAACCCCAAGCCGCTGGGTATGACATGTACGTACATGCCATTGCCCGTTGTGTGTGTTGAGTTTAGTAATTGTTTTTACATAAAGATGGCCCCACAAGTACTGTCACCTATGAACCAATTGCGTGAACTACGTCTCACCTGTTTACCCTTTTCCTTGATTTTTGATATTTTCTAATATTTAAGACTGCTGTTAGTAATGTCAGTATATTATTATTATTATTATTATTATTATTATTATTATTATTATTATTATTATTATTATTATTATTATTATTATATTACCTATTGATATATGCATCATTGTGCAAAGGCTGTCAAAAACTAGCCATTTCTCTCCACCCCCACCCACCTGCACTATGATATAGGGATAGTTGATATATCTTAGTACTGCTTTAAACGATTCCTCCAGCCACACCCACCATAACATTACACCCTGATTTGCCTTAGTCCCTCCTTTCCCTGAACCGATCTGTGCATGGTGAATGAGTTGAATGTACGAATACTTGATTATGAGAGAGAGGGAGAGAGTCTAACAGGTGTTGATGTCTTGCAAGGTGATAGGGTGCAGATGGGTATGTTCTTGCAGGAATTTAATAGTGAGAAGGGACAGTGTTGGTTCCCTCGGCTGTTTTGTTGTAAATGGAGTGTGGGATGTGGGTACCGGAATGGGAAACCTGGTACAGTTTGGTATATTTCATCTCGCCAAATTCATCTTTCCCCTTCCTTTATTCACCTTCGATGAAATGTAACTAACCTTTTGTAAATATATTCTCTCCCTGCTTCATTATCGTTATTATTTTCTTAAGTTTTGATTTTTTTTTTTTTTTTTTTTTTTTAAGGACATTTTATCTTAATGCTTTATGAGTTTTTAGTTGCTTTTTGAAAAATTATTTTACATATATGTGGAGTAGACATAAGCAGTCTTTGGTGTCAATATTGTCAGTATTGGCAACCTGGCACCTTAACCAAGGATTACCTGATATTAATGTATTTTACTTTACTAGGGACTAGCTAGCCAAAATGTCGGACAGCGAGGCTAGCTACCACTCCGACTCCGACCATGAGAAGTCCAGGGGAGGAAGTGATAGTGAGGTAAGGGCTTGCAATTTTTTGGTTGTGTATTTCTTTCCTTAGTGTTATCTTTTTTCTGTCTTTTTTCTATCATCTCTCTCTGTCTGTCTTCCTCTCGATTTATAACATTATGATTATTTTCATGGCTTTACTCTCTAAAGGAAAATGAAATATTATGTGGCAACACCTTATTCAATACCATGAGTAGTTTCAGGTGTTTAGGCTTTTATTTAGGCTATTAGTAGACTGCTACCTTCTCCAGTTTTGCCAGTAATTTTTTAGGTCTCTACAATTCATATTTGATTCAGAGTGATTTCTTTCACCTGCATAAGAATTTGTATGCCAAATGTTAACCACTAAAATCTCACTTATAGTGATACAGACTGTTCTGTTTGTTCATTTCTCTCTTCATATTTGTACGATTCTTGCTTCCATCCCAGATTTAATTTCACTTGAGCCAGAGTACTTGCTGTTGTTTAATCTAATTACTGCTTCTGACAGGGAGAGCAGCGCAGGAGTCGTAGCCGCAGTAGGAGTGGCAGTCGCAGTGTGAGCAGAGGCCGCAGCGGCAGCAGAAGCAGAAGTCGCAGTGCCAGTGGGAGTAGGAGCAGGAGCCGCAGCAGGTCTGGGAGCAGGAGTCGGAGCAGGAGCAGAAGCAGGAGTCGCAGCAGAAGCCGCAGCCGTAGCAGGAGTAGAAGCAGAAGCAGGAGTAGGAGTAGGAGCAGAAGCCGAAGCCGCTCAGTGAGGTCAGATGAGGCGGAAGAGGCAAGGAGTGGCGAAGAAGAAATCAGTGGAGATGAAGAGCCGGCGGACGGGGAGGATCTTGCCAACTCAGTGGGTGGCTTTTATTTTTTTGTCTCCTTATTCTTTACTGTATTCCTGTTCTTATATGAATGTAAATATTAGTGTTTATAAGCTGTCTAACAATATCTATGTAATTTAATGATTACAGTGAATATTTGCTCTTTATTTCACCAACCTTTCTATTTTCCTTTTCCCAATATGTGTGTATGTCATTCAACAACTTTCTATCTCTCCCCCTACTTCATCCAGGAGTATGACAGCGAGGAGGATGAGGAGGATGACCGCCAGCCTAAGAAGAAGAAGAAGAGAGGAATGGTGTCTGACTATTTCCTGGAGGAGGCCGAGGTGGACGACGACGAAGGGGAAGATGATGACGAGGATGAGGTGCGTTGGTCTCCCTTGTCTTGTCCGGATGCTGTTGAGTGGCTCCGGATGTGCCTCTGGTTATGATTTTTTTGAGGGTGGTGGGAACTTTATTTTGGAATATCCTTTCTTATGGTTGTTACTTCCTGAGACACTGTGAAATGCAGAAAAGGAGGAACGTTTTCTTACTTTAGTATTTCTTTATTGACTCGTTAGTTTAATCTATTTATTTATTTTATAAACAGGGAGACTACTATGATCTACTGGGGAATGAGAAGGAAGAAGTGGGTGTTACAGCCAGGGAGATTGAAGCAAATCGCCGTGCTCACAGTGTGTGGGAGTAAGTATTTGCTTTGTATTTTTGAATAGTGAAATTCAGCTTGATAGCTCTCTATCTCTTATGTAATTGTCACAAGAAAGTCATGATTGACAAGAGTGCTGATACATTTGTTTACTTTGAGGAAAATTATGACTGATGCTTCATATATATTATATTTATAATTTTACCATTCAGAAGAGAAAATGAGAGGAAAAACTTGATTTATGGCAAAGAAATGTCCAACTAATTAAACACTTCCATTTCAACAGCAATGAGCGAGAGGAGGAGATTGAAGAATACTACCGTCGCAAGTATGCTGAGGAATCGTCGGCTGCCATGCGCTTCGGCGAGGGAGGTGAGGAGATGAGCGATGAGATCACCCAGCAGACTCTCTTGCCCGGTGTGAAGTGAGTGACTTTGTGTTTGTTGTTATTGATATGATTAGATGAAGTTCGGAATTACAAGTGGAATTTGAATAAAATCTCTGGTGTATATATATTCATATGCGGCATATTTTCATCAAACTTGGGAATTTGATAATGATATGATTTTGTGTTATATCAACTGAAATGAACATTCTCTTGACCATTCTTTTCCATTACAGGGATCCTAATCTTTGGATGGTCAAGTGTCGCATTGGTGAGGAGAAGATCACTTGCTTGCAACTGATGCGCAAAATGATTGCTTACCAGTTCACAGAGGAGCCGCTGCAGATCAAGTCTGTGGTGGCTCCAGAAGGAGTGAAGGGGTACCTCTACTTTGAGGCCTATAAGCAGACCCACGTCAAGGCTGCCATGGAAGGCGTGTCGAACCTCAGGCTGGGGACGTGGCAGCAGACTGTAAGATATTTAACAGTTTTGAGTATGATGGATATAATTTTGAAGAATGGCAAAATATAAAAACTAAGGATTGTTAAAAAATAAATTTACAATGATAAGTAGGAAACAGTCTGTAGTTGAATTGGTGTGTGAACTTTAGTATTGAAAAAAAAAAAAAAAAAAGAAGAGGGACTTCTTGTGATTGTAACGAATGCTTCTTGTAAAATCTTGTAGATGGTGCCCATCAGTCAGATGACAGATGTGCTACGTGTGGTCAAGGAAGTGCCCACTTTGAAGCGTGGAGCGTGGGTCAGGCTGAAGAGAGGTGAGTTCCTTTTATTACCATGCTGGGGGATTTTTTCTTTCTTTTCATCGCTTGTAAGATATTGGGTAATAATTTGGATTGGTGTTATGAAATGTCATAGATTCTGAGATATGTTTGCAGTTTGATCTGTAAATCCTTTCAAAAACATCTTGGATTCCTAGTATATGGGTGATTACACAGCATTAATTTTAAAATATGGTACCAATGCAAGCCTATGTTGAAATTACTGGGGACAGTCTTTGACCAAGTCTTAAAGAAATAGGGCATTCTTGGTGTCAGAAACTGTTGATAGGAATATCCTTAAATTTTTAACCAAAATCTTTGGCTGTGCTGAAATACAATTACCAATTTTTTTTTCTTTTCTTTTTCTTTTCTTTTTTTTAGTCTAAAATATGAAGACTATCTAGTATGTAAGACTGGCTGGTGAATGACAGATGTTCAGGTGCATAGTTGCAAAAAAAAAGGAAACTTCTCTTTTGTTAAGAATTGGATAGCTCCTTTTACACCTAATTTCTAGAAGATTACGAGTCCATTCATAAAGGAAAACCTCTATTTTTTAAATGACAAATTGCGTCTTTCCAGGTATCTTCAAGGATGATTTGGCTCAGGTGGACTACGTTGATGCTTCACAGAACAATGTTCACCTGAAGCTCATTCCACGTATTGACTACACTCGCATGAGAGGAGCATTGAGGTAAACCATAGTGGGGAGATATTTTTATTTTTACTAATTTTTCATGTCTTTTAGCTTTTTTTTTTCAATCAACTTTTTTCTCTATAAATGTATTTTGGTTTGTCTCATTCTACTTTGTCATTGCACAGAGGTGTTGTTTTAATTCAAGTAAATTCAGTTATATAAAGAGTATAATCTTTAAAGTAAATGTAGCTAAACATGAACCTATTGATACTGGATAATTAGTTTGTTTACAATGATTTTGTTTTGTTTTGTTTACACATGAATGCTTTCATGAACTTCGTGTAATTACAGTTTAGAAAAGCAATTATCTGTCACTCGAAAACTGCTTTTATTTTTAATTAGTTTAGAACCCTTACACTATGCCTACTTGATCTTTCTTGAAATGTTCATGAATAAACTATGGCTATCAATTTATAAGGAATTTATTGCCATTACAGTTTAGAAAAGCAATTATCTGTCACTCAAAAACTGCTTTTCCTGATTCAGTTTTTATAATATGATTATTTGTAATTGGTTTCATATCCACTTTTTTGTTACTCTTTTATTGATTAATTTTGTCATCTTTTTACTTAATCTTTAGTATTTTTTTGTAATTTTTACTCCAGCATGTGAAGCAATATAAATTTGGAAAAGTTATAACCTTGTGATTGCATCCAACAGATCTAGCCAGTCCGACAATGACCTCAAGAGAAAGAAGTTCCGCCGGCCGGCACAGAAGCTCTTTGACATCGATGCCATCAGGGCCATTGGTGGTGAAGTTACACAGGATGGTGACTTCCTCATCTTCGAGGGCAACCGTTTCACTCGCAAGGGATACCTGTACAAGACCTTTGCCATGTCGGCCATCATGGCTGATGGTGTCAAGCCGACACTTAGTGAGCTGGAGAAGTTTGAGGAGCAGAGTCTGGCAGATATGGAGGTATGCATCCTGCAAAGGGTCTGTGGGATCTGGAGTGGGTGTGTGTACTGAAAGGATAAGCTAAAAGGAGTACTTAGGTTCCATATACTGAATAGTTTTGATTCCTGCTCAACCAGTTTGTTAGTTGGTCTCACAAGAATGAATATATAATGTTGTTTACAAATTTGTTTATCAATTGAGTCTATCAAGTTATGGTCAAAATCATTATTCTTTTGATATAGACAGTTACATGCTTTCTTCAAAGAAATTGTTTTAAATTTCTCCTCTTCATTGGAGAGGGAATGGTTAATAATTTTAAAACTAATTTAAACTCCAACTATTTCCCCAGCTCACCACCTCCAATCGTGAGGATGAAGGGCACAGCTTTGCACCTGGAGATAATGTTGAGGTGTGCGAGGGTGAATTGATGAACTTGATGGGCCGCGTCACACGTGTTGATGGTAAAGTATAATTGTTGTTTTTTAGCCTGTATTTTTTTTTAATTATTATTATTATTTTTTTCTACTGTTTATTGCTTACTTTATTAGTATTTTGAAATTGATTTTTAAATTTTATTTGCATTAGAATTAACTTTGTTTTGTCTTTCAGGCAACAAGATCACCATCTTACCCAGGCACGAAGACCTCAAGGATGAGCTCGAGTTCATGGCTCATGAGTTGAAAAAGTATTTCAGTCAGGGAGATCACGTGAAGGTGATTGCTGGCCGCTACGAGGGAGACACTGGGCTTATTGTCCGTGTAGAGGAAAACATGATTGTCCTCTTCTCTGACTTGACTATGCACGAGCTCAAGGTAAGAAAAGTCTCATTTCCAGGTCATGATCAATTTTCTCTCTCTTTTCTAGCAAAATGGATTTGTTGTATTACAGTTTGGAGACCTGTGGTTAAATCTTGCTTTAAAACCCATTTTGGTCGGCAGGTCTTGCCTCGAGATCTCCAGTTGTGTGCGGACGTAGCAACAGGTGTGGACTCCCTTGGACAGTACCAGTGGGGAGACTTGGTATCACTAGAGTAAGTGTCTGCCATTTCTTGTTATTCATGTACCCATGATTTTCCTTTATTCTTGATTTCATTCCTTCATTTGAATTTTCCATTTCTGGTATTTTTCTATTTGATTTTATTCTCGACTGTAAATCATCTAGAACTTGTGGTTTTTACACTTCCTCTCCCACCTCACAGTGCTCAAACTGTTGCCGTCATCGTGCGCCTGGAGAAGGAGAACTTCCAGGTCCTCAACATGCATGGTAAGCTGGTTCATGTCAAGCCCCAGGCTGTGCACAAGAAGAAGGAGAACCGCAGAGCCATGGCCCTCGACTCGGAGCAGAACACCATTCAGGTCAAAGATGTCGTTAAGGTTATTGACGGCCCGCATTCGGTAAGTTTATTTTTCATTTTCATTTTTTGTTGTTGTTTTTGCATTTTGAATATTTTACTTTCCTTGTTTATAGTGATTATTTTTCCTTATTTCTCTCTTGGTCTTTCTGTAACATCATTCAAGACTGCTTATCATATTTATATAACCTGAATTGGAAAAGATATATTGATGCAAACATAAGACCTATAGGATTGTTACCTCATATATGTTTATTCTAACCCATGTGTAAGTTTCCATAAAATATAAAAAAGGACAAAGTTCATCATGTATTTTATCAGTATTTATAGTGACTTATGACTCATCGGCATTCTCTCAGCTTACGATAGTCTTCATGTGTCTCTCTGGCATAGAGAGTCAGGAATTGAAGCATTAGATTAAAGTGAAGTCATTCAACTAAAACACTTTAACTTTTTTGTGTGTGTGTCATTTTACTGATGAGAGTAATTTCACTAACAAGTTCCTGTTTCTGAATTCCAGGGTCGTCAAGGTGAGATTCGTCATTTGTATCGCAACTTTGCCTTCCTCCACTCGAAGATGATGATTGAGAATGGTGGTATTTTTGTGTGCAAGACAAGGCATTTAGTTCAGGCTGGTGGTGCAAAGGTGAGTAACGATGTTGATTCTGTTACAAAAGAATGGCTACATATTTGTGAAATTTTAGTACCAGTATTACATTTAGCTCTTGCTTGAAGTAAAGTCATCTCCTTTTTATTTATGGAGACCTGTTATTTATCATTCTCTTTCCGCAGTCCTCGGGTGGAGGCCTAGGAGTGGGTGGAATGGGCATGGGCACAGGATTCATGTCCCCTCGACTCAGCTCCCCAGCCCACCCTGCTGGCGGCGGTGCGCCTGATCGAGGGGGTGCAGACCGTGGCTTTGGGGATAGGAACCGTGGACGAGGACGAGGGAGAGGCATGGGCCGTGATCGTGGTATCATTGGACAGACTATTAAGATCACACAGGGACCGTACAAAGGTGATTTTTCCCCTTTTTGTGCAGTTTATTTCAATTGTGAAGTAGTATTGACAATATTGCCAGGATGACTGGTACATTGAAGGCAAAAATGCTGATCCACTTTTCACATTCTCCAGGTCACGTCGGTATTGTCAAGGATGCCACTGATTCGACTGTGCGTGTGGAGCTCCACTCCAAGTGCCAGACCATTATTGTGGACAGATCCCGTGTGGCAGCAGTGGGGGCCACTGCCAGGTCTGGATCCGTCACCTCCTATGCCCGCACTCCCACCTGGGCCGGCTCAGCTACTCCCATGTATGGCAACACTGGTTCACGCACTCCAATGTATGGCTCACAGACTCCTCAGTACGAAGGGTCACGTACACCTCATTATGGCAGCATGACTCCATCACACGATGGGTCAGCAACACCTGGCAGGTGAGTCAAAAGATGGTTACCTTGCTCTTGGTTTATATCATTATATATCTTGATTTATGTTTAGCTTGTCTAATTTTAATACCAAATGTGACTGTGGCTTGTATTATCATATATGAAAAGGTAATTAAATTCATTAAAATTGGAGGTACTGTACTTCATCATATGATTTATCTTGTATATCCATCTCCAGACAATCGGCATGGGATCCTACCATCACCAACACTCCTGCAAGGAATTCAGAATTCGATGAATACTCCTATGATGATGCCTCACCTTCTCCAGCTTACAATCCTGGTTAGTAATAAGGGGGCTACTAAAGAGATACTCTCAAAAACCTATTGGTATCTGGTGTTTTTATAACAAATTCCACTCTGTTACTACCTTGGGATACTTCCTAATTTTTCCTTGAAAATACTCAGGTACTCCAGGCTACCAGTCTGATGCAGGCCAGGGTCCATACACCCCTCAGACCCCTGGCACAGTGTACAGCTCAGACCACAACTACAGCCCATACCAAGCTGAGCCCTCACCTTCAGGATACCAGCGTGAGTTTTGATAGTTTTAATGGTTGATAATTAGAGAAGGTAAGAGTGAGAATGAATATCTATACAATGCAAGAGATTTATTGTATTGTGAACATACTCATTCTCATTCATACCTTTTCTACCTTTGATGCAATATATATGGTTCATTTTACAATTACTATTTACTTTGAATTTCAGATGATGAGCTGTTCTTGAAAAAACACATTTCAGCATTTTTGCTCAAGGTGTTTGTGTTTTATTACAGCTGGTGGAAGTCCTGCTGGATATGCTGGAACCCCAAGTCCAGGTACAGGATACCAGGGCTCCCCCTCGCCTGGATCAGGTTATGCTTCTCCATCTCCTCTGGCCTCGTACAGCCCAATGACACCTGGAGCTCCTTCCCCGTACAATCCTCAGACACCGGGAGCAGGTATGGGTTGCTGTGTTTCAGTTATATACAAATTATTAGTCAGTCTGAATCTTTTTTGATTATATGTTTCTGTCAATATAATTATCATAATTATTATGATAATGATTATAATTGTAATTGCTTTAGATACAGTTATTATAACAATAATTTTAGTGATGATTATTATCATCATCATTCAGCACTCTGTCTTCCGTAACCTCATTGGAAGTATCTATCATACTTTTCTTGTCCCAGCAGGCCTAGATTCTCTCAGCATGCATGACTGGCAGACAACGGACATTGTTGTGAGAATCAAGGAGACCCATGATGACTCTGGTCTGATTGACCAGACAGGTGTTATCCGAGGAGTCTCTGTAAGTACCACACATTCTACCCCTTGTTCAAATTTTTGTTGTATATTTACATTTATTTGAAGTTAAATCAAACTGGAACTTCAGTTATCATTGAGGAATTTTTTATAAGAGCAGAGAATTATTGCTGATATTTTCTTTTTACAGGGTGGGATGTGTTCGGTGTTCCTGCCAGAGGAGGAGCGAGTCGTCAATATTCTTGGGGAGCACCTGGAACCTGTGACTCCTGCCCAGGGTGATCGGGTCAAGGTCAGTGGGATTGATTGTGCTGAAGTTGCTTTTCTTCTCTTAGTTGAATATTTATTCCCCTGTCTCCCAGAATACCATTTCTTCCCACTCCCTTTTTTTCTCTCTTTCTTTTTTCTTTTCTTTCAAATCTCCTTCACTTTCCCCTTGTCTTTGTTCTTGTTCTTTGTTTTCTTTTTCCCCCATCTTCTCAACCTTCACCTTCCTTTTGTCACTTTCCTTTAATTTTTTTTCTTTCTTTCAAATCTCCTTCACTTTCCCCTTGTCTTTGTTCTTGTTCTTTGTTTTCTTTTTCCCCCATCTTCTCAACCTTTACCTTCCTCTTGTCATTTTCCTTCTCCTTGTCCATCTTTTTCTTTTCCCCATCTTCTCCTTCACTTTCTTGTCTTTCTTTTTCTTTTTCTTGTTCTCCTTCAGCTTCGTTTTTTTATTTTTCTTGTTCTCCTTCAGCTTCTTGTCCATATCTTTTCTTTCTTCTGTAATACCTTTGAAATATAATTTGTATGCCTTTATGCTGTCCACATTTTAATTGACAGTGATCAATATTTAATATGTTAATGTATCCTTACTGTACATATAATATCAACATGATTAAAAGAAAAAACTTTTCATCTCTCCAGGTAATCTTTGGAGAAGAAAGGGAACAGACAGGGAACCTTCTTTCGATTGATCACAGTGAAGGAGTGGTGAAGCTTGACCATGCTGATGTGAAGATGTTGCAGCTGCGCTACTTGTGCAAGATGAAATAAACGTCAGTATGCCTGTGAGTGCAAGCTTTTCTTGCTGATGCCATCAGAGAGGCATAACCCCTCCCATCCCCCATGAACAGGAAAAACGTAGCTAGCTTTTATAAGGCCTCTCGCTAAGGGCAAAAGATGTATGTAGGTCTATATATATGAGAGTAGAACTTTTATTTTTAAAGCAAGCTCGTTAAGCCTTGCTAGATTTGTGTGTTTGCAGGTGGCAGGTTGGCTGAGCTCCAGTCATAAGTGTAAATTGAATTATGTATTGGAAGTAAAAGAAAGTCCCTCAGTTGTTGAGTGGATTGGCAAGGTACCAGTGTCAAAGAGAGACGAGATTTAATGCTTTGATAGAGTAAGTAACATAATTTCATTCACATTTCCATGTACATCCATGCAAGTATCATGTTTTCATAATACATCTGATTATAGAGTACATACACAGATATGATTGGGAGTATGTGTATTGTTTATTTTGTTTTTTTGCAGAATTTAAGTCAGTGCTGTAATGTTTGGTGAATGAGAGAGCCTCTAAGCTGTTATTATGTTCTATATGTCAAGGATGACAAGGATGTCTGTTGATAATTTAAGAAAATCAACACATTTATATCCCTTAATTTCAGAAATGTTAATTTCTTAATTGCATAATATTACAAGTGTTTTTAGTGGTATTACCTTTGATATAATAAATATCTGAACTAATTCTTTCTAAGCGTGTGTAGGCATGTATTCACCTAAAACGAATGTGATATTCTAAGGCCTGGTTTTAAAAAGTTATCAGGAAGGCAAAACTACTTGTGTCTCATTTTCATAATATCATATAGTTTTCTTTTATTATCACTATATTACAAAAACAAAAAGAAATATTGTGTTATATTTAGAGAAGGAGGGTTTCTCTGTATCGTTGTGAGCGTAACAACACTGCAAAGCAAAGACAGGCGGCAGTACCTGTACAATAAAATGTTTTATACACAGGAACTGGTTATCATTTTTGGATGTTTTCTCCACCATGTCAAGCCGAGGAAAAACTTCAGGCACCATCTGCATCCCAAGTCACAATGCCATTGGCCATCTTTATTTGATATAGTTGTATGAATCACACTTCACCTACTGTATATTTAACAGTCTAATGTTGAAGTTTTGTAATAAATGAGAAAATGGAATCATTGTTGGTTGACTCAATTTTTCTTTGATTTAGATTTGATTCCTGGCTGCATTATGTGTAGGATTATCCACATGGGTAAATGTTTCTATGGAATACAAAATTAAAATGTGGGTTATTGTAAAGGAAGCAAAATATGGAGATGATTTTTGGAAAGTATTTGTACAATATTAAGTATTTGACAGTTTAAGGAGAGTTCTGTGGAAGTATGTATATATATATATATGTATATATATATATATATATATATATATATATATATATATATATATATATATATATATATATATATATATATATATATATATATATATATATATATATATACTCTTTTTTTTTTGGGGGGGGGTACTAGAGGCTGAAAGATAACTTGCTACAACTTCTTGAGGAAAAGGCATTATAATTTGGCAAGATAACTGTTTTACTATGCATAAAGTGTCTATTTGGTCTCTTGTTGATGCATAATTACCCTTAGCAATATGCAGATTAGAACTGTTGCACGAAGGATGATTGATTCCCAGCATTATAAAAAATACATATTTAACAGGAAGAAATATATTCTAAAAGATATTCAGCTGTGTGCTTTTAGACCATATAAAGAAGAGAAATTAAAATATAAACAAATGTACTTCTCACTCAAGGTATGCAATTGTTATACTTCGAAGTGAGTATACATGTTTCCGGTGGGAATATTTCAAAGTATTATTCTGTGTTAGTCGTCAAGAATTCATGTATTCTAAGTAAAACATGCACATGCAAGAACAAACCGGTACCTTCTAAAACAGGTGCGTGTGTATTGGACACCGATCCCCACAACCAGATATAACTGGAATTGGATACTAGTACCGCAGTGTAAGCCAACTCAGTAAGGTTTGTCAGTTGGAAAATTATGCAAGTTCCAAAAAAGGAGCGTCATTTGTAAGATTCTCTATTAACTGGTTAAGAAAAAAAAATAATCATAAGCAGACAGAGTTGACGAAATCAAACGCGAAAATTAAGTCCCACTTTATACGTCCAATAAGTTGATAAGAATTACTTGAAAAGATGTTTTATTAAATATGATGGCAAATATGTAAGTATATTGCACAAAAGATGTCTGATTTTAAACAAGGCGCAAAGAAATGAGGAAAAAATACGTGATAAAAGTATGCACAAAAGATAGATGAGAATGAAGATCTTTTCAATATAAGAGATGCATTTAACCGGTTTCGGATACATTGTCGTCAGAAAAGCGCGTGTTTCTAAGATATATTTGAAATCAGTTACACCTGTTGTATTGTGAAGATATTCATCCTCATCCATAACTTTTCTACATTTGTCACAATGAATACGATTCATGATAAAAACAATTGATTTTCCCCTGTGTATGCCGGTTAGTCGAGTGCAAGTGAGAGCGTGTCTGTTTTTGCTCTAGCGTGACACCATGACCACGTCTCTCTCCTTTTCTCTTCATTTCTTCCTTTCCTTTTTCTCTTTTTCTTCCATCTATCTATCTGTTAGTAACTGGCTATCTGTACACCCTCCAAGCCACACCGTTCGGGGAGTGGGGGTATTTTTATTACGATTAAAATGGATTAAAATTGTGTTTTCGATGGGGTGCTTCTGCATACTGCAAAGTGAGAATTATGGGATAAAACAGATGCTTCCATTCTCCCTATAAAGCAGACGCGTGCAAACAGGATCATTAATTCACAACATGACCATAAGGACGCTAAAGTAATCCCAAAACTTTGACTGCAGGTTCACGTGTAGACCAAAGATTAAAAAAAATGAACAGGCATAAAACTGAAATTCCAAGATTTCATTCATCCCTTCAGGAATTCCTGTGGAGAGACCGGGTTCCTTGGTGCATTCGCAGATCTACGTTCTATGTTTTCTTTCGAGTCGCGTAACGTAATGCCTGCCCTGATCTGTATGTGGGTGAATATATCTATAATACTTCGTGTACTGATGTGCACCTATACGGCGATGGCATATTCTGTAAGGAATATTAGGGGGAGGGAAGAGTCTGGGGGGGAATTAGTTCAGTTAGGTAATGTTGGGGCACACTTAACACACACACACGCACACACCCGCCCGCACAAACACATACAGACACACGCACACAGGCAAACAGCCCATGATCAAATGTCTATACACGGATTTGTATGAATGTGCGTGTAACTGAGTATTTTTGAATGTCTAAGTGGAAGGAAAAATGGATGCTGACCCACGCACTAGCATACGTGCCTTTTTTATATACAGAAACTGACGATTAACTCGATAATACGAAAAAACAATGGACTCAAATTCCAACTCATTACTTTGATTATTTGATATATCATCTCCTCTACAACTTAATATGTAAGTATAAGTGCGTAATTTTCCAGTGGGATTTATTTTAAAACAATTGGTTTATTGCAACCTTAAATAACAAAGACTAAATGAACTAAAGGATTT